GGGTTTGAGTGGAGGTAAGAGAGAGAGGTGGAAAAGTGGCTGCTTGGGGGAGGCCGGGTTGGGCTGACGAGGGGCAGGTAGGGCAGGTGAGGCGGCAGGGCGTGCGGGGCTTCAGGGGGACAGCGGCCCAGGGGCAGTGGTTTGGGGGGTTCGAGGCTGCTGAGCTGCCGGGCCCTCACTCAACAGCATCGTGCATCACAAGCGGAGCGTCTGTGTGTGCACGCATGACCGTCGACCCATCAGATTGCTGCGCCCCCCGTCAGAAATCTGGCACAGCCCCCACACTCCCTATATCCCCCAGGCTACCTGCCTTCCTCCCCCCCCCAGACCTGTGCAATGTTGAGTATGTGGCGCAGCTCAGCAAAGTTTGGCGGGATGTAGCGCCGCCGGCTGAGGTGGAAGAACGCGTCGTACTCGCGGAAGGCCTCCACCTGGTCGGGATGGTTAGGGGCACCGTGCTCAGGAGGGGGCCAGCCGCTTTGCAGCGCCGTTGTTGGGATATCCACGGGGGTTCGGATGGGCGTGCGGGGGTTACAATGGGCGTGAGGGGTTGGGACGGGTGCGTACGACGGGAGATGGCGCCGGCTGCATCCTGCGGTCCGTGCTGGCAGCATCCCTGCACGCTTTACTATTTGTGCGAATTGCAAGCGGAGCTTTTTCCATTGGAAACTGGTCGACTGGCAGCACACCACGGATCAAACGAGCACTGCGCTTGCGCGGTATCCTGCCAGCCTTCTGAGCACGATCGCCCCGTTCTCCACCGCCGCGCCCGCCGTGGACACCCCCCGCGCCACCCCCGCGCCCCCACCAGCTTGAGGGGCGTGAAGAAGCTGCCCACAGTGGGCACGATGCGCTTGAGGCGACTGCGACGCGGGTCCTGCCGGTGGTCCTGAGGGGAAGGGGGGACGGCGAGAGACCGAGGAGCAATGAGCCAGAGCGCCATGGAGCAGCAAGTCGGCCGTGGCACACGCCTGCTCGGGACCCGTGCCGGCGCGCACGGCAGCTCCGGGCTCCTCACCAACAGCGCTGTCACTTTGGATGCGCCGGAGTGCTGAATGTGAGTAACGCCACTGAAACCTGGCCAGGCGACCATCAGTCCCCAAGTTCCCCCTGATGCCACAACGCCTACTGCTGCATGTTTGCCACAACGCCACCGCCCCCTTCTTTCCACTTGGCCCTCCGCTTCCCGAACCCCGGGTTCCTGCAAACCCCTCACCACGCGGCCCCTGCACACCCCCCCCCCAAACACACACACACACACACACACACACACACACACACACACGCACGCACCGCAATCCACCGCTCTGTCTTGTACATGGCCTCCTCGCACGTGTGTGTCTCGTGCATTTGGCGGATGTACTCGATCAGCCGGTCCTGGAACAGCGCACACAAGAGAGGTATGCGACCCGCTTGTCCAACTCTTCGACACACGCAGGAGCCGCCGCCGCCACCGCCAACGGCAGCCACTCCCGGGCAACGGGGGACATGGCAACAAGGTGGAACGCAGTATCGATCTGCTGACGCAGCAGCGGCTCGACGGGGACGCGAGGCCGGGTGCGCCGCACTGGGGCGAGTTCACCCCCTTGGTGTCGCGCCGGCGCCGCACCTGCTCCTTGAGGTGGCCCTTGCGCCGCAGCAGGCTGGCGTCCGAGGCGCTCTTGGCGCGCGGGATGCTGGCCTCGGTGTCGGGGTGCAGCAGCAGCTCCCAGTAGCCGGCGGCCTCCCCCAGGTCCAGGGCAGAGCCGGTGGATGCGGGGGACACAGACACAGCAGACGTAGCGGGCGAGCCGCCTACTGGGGTCGCCATTGCAGAGCTGCCGGGCGTCTGGAAAGGCGTCGCGCCGGGCGTGGCGCTCTCCGCGCGGCCGTGCGCGACGATGGTCGGCTGCGCTTGGGGGCCGGCGGCGCCAGCGACGGCGCCGTCGCTTGTGCTGACTGGCACTGCGCCGGCCACCCCTGTTCCGTTGCTGCCGCTTGCCGGCCGCTCCAGCGCCGCGACGCGCGCGCGCATGCGACGAGCTTGATTGGCTGAACCCACTGACACAGAATGGTGGCCGATGCTGGCTGATTGGAACCTCATCACGCTGCCGGTGTGTGGCGTCCTCCCGTCAAGACCCTTGAACCGCCGGGCGTCCAGTCCAGGAAACATTTTTGCCAATGGCTCAAGACATACACACCCTTTTGCGGCTTGCGCGGCGATGCCTGATCTGCAGTTGTCAGGTGTAGCAAAGCAAGTGCTTCAGAAGAGCGTCGCAATCATTAATCATGGATGAGACATATTATGAAGGTTCACATGGCTTATTAGCCCTATGTGTCAGACATATGTAGACGCAGCAACACGGGCTCGCGCATATGCCATCGCCACAGTCACGCCAAAAGGACACCAGGAAGAAAAAAGGCGCACGAAATAACGACGCCGTCTGGCTGGCCCTTCTCTGGACATGCCGCGCGCCTGATCTGATGCAGCAAAGCACGCCTTGACCGCCGGTCCAACTCGACGCTAGCGGCGCCTCGCGTTGAGCGGCATGCAGGCACTCCAAGAGTGGCTGCAGGAGAAGGGCGGCATCGCGGCCGCCGACCTTGAGCAGGCAAGGCGCGCTTGGCAGCGCTTCCAACGCACGCGGTGACTGCGGCAGGAAGGAGCCTGTATGCACATTCTGCAGTCACACTCTCCATGCCCCCCCGAATGTGGACGCAGGACTTTGCGTCTGGCTACCTATTTGGTCAGTTGTTCGACTCCTTGGGCCTGCAGCCTGATTTTGGGGCGTTTGTGAACAAGGGCAAGCCCGATGCCTGCCTCGCCAACCACACGCGCCTCCAGGTACGCCTGCGCGGCAGCCAGGTGCAGCGCCCGCGCGCCCACGCGCCCACCCGCTCCTCTGCCGCTCAGCCATTGCTTTTAGAGATTTTGAGCAAATGAGTTTATGACTGTTCAAACGTAGCATAACACCACAGTATTGCTGCACTTCAAAGTCCCTGCCGGCCGCCCGGCGGGCCGGCAGGCATCCTGCCTACAGCACTTGCGCCACTCCCACCCCCGGCGTTGCACCGATGCAGCCAACCTTCAACCGGCTGGGCGTCCAGTATGACAGCCGCACGGCCCAGGGCCTGATGCGCGGCGAGCCCGGCCTGGCAGCCAGGCTCCTTGCAGCAGTCAAGGCGGCGCTGGACGGCATGGTGACCAATGCAAGGGTGCGGGGGTGAGGGGGGGGGCGCCGGGGGATGGAGGGCGCGTGCGCCCCGCAACAACAGGGGGCTGACTGCCCTAGGGCAGCTGCACTTCATGTGCGGGGCGTGTGGGAGAGGGTCACTTAGGGGCCAAGTACTTGTCAGGCTGATAAAGCTAAAGGCGGCAGATGGGGCCGCAATACGAGATGCGTGCGGCACAACCATGCATGCGCCCCTCAACGAACCGCACACATGCGCAGGCGCTCGACCACTCCGGCCGCACCCTGCGCCAGTTTGGCGTGCGCCAGGCGCCGACGGCCGGCCTGCTTGAGGCGCAGCACTACAGCACTGCCAAGGCCGCGTACGACGCCGCTAGCACCAGGTCGGTCACGCGGGGAGGAGATCTACAGAGCATAATCCTGCAGATAGGGTGACGAGGCAGCCGCCGTTGGTCTGGCGGCAGCGACGTTTCCAGGTGCATGTCACCGCTGGTGACGGCGCCATCCGACCACTCTCGCGCCCGCCGCCGCGCTGCGCCGCAGGGTGTTTGAGGAGGTGATGAGGAAGCGCGCCGCCAACCCCAACCAGCTGATGGAGGCGGCCCACCTCAAGCCGTTTTACGACGGTGTGCGGGCGACGCGCCCGCGCGTTGGGCTTGCGCGTGGCACGTCTTTCCGTTGGATGAGCGTACTGCTTGACCTTAGCAAACACAGCCACTCACGGCACCAGCTGGCACCGCGCTCTGAGGCCTGACGTGTCGCGCCTGCTGCACGCAGAGGGCGCACGCCACGAGGCCGACGCCGCGGCGGCACTGCTGGAGGGGCGCGCCGAGCGCGTCGCGCGCCACGCGGCCGGCCGCGACCGCCTGCGCGGCACCATGGCCGCCAACAGCCGGGAGCGCGGGGCCCGGCTAGAGCGGGATGCGGCGGTGCACGAGGCGCTGCTCAAGCGCAAGGTGTGTGTGGGGGAGTGAGCACATGGGGGAGAGCGGATTTGCGGTGAGCAGGGCTCAGGGCTGGCAGCCGCACGCTGGGATGGTAGGAGCAGCGGTTTGGTGCGATAGCCATTGGCTGCTGGTGTTATTGCCACCCTCGGGCGACGCGTTCACGCGGCTGGGTCTGTCATGATGTGGTCCAAGCGCTGAGGGTAGGATCGAAGGGGAGGGGGGAAGAGCCACCCGCGACTGTTGCGCCCCCAACCACAGCCCCTAACACTGAACGGACTGCCGCCTACAGGAGGACAGCGAGCGCGAGCAGCTGCGGGTGGAGGCGGCGCTGGCGCAGGGCGCGCGCCTGCGTGGACTAGACCAGCGCGCGGCGGCAGCCCGCGAGGTGGCGTCTGGCATCGACGCATTCGAGCTGACCCTCAAGCGCGTCGGCGCGGCCGGCGGCGACGAGGGCGCCGGCGTTGGGGGCGCCGCTGCGCCTGGCGCGCAGCAGGAGGGTCCAGTGGCGACGCTGGGACGGCTGCGGGCGCTGGCGCCTGCGACGCGTGAGCTGGCTGAGGGGGGCGCGGCCTACCTGGAGACCATCAAGGCGCGGCGCCGCGACGAGGCAGCGGCGCGAAGGGAGCGCGAGGTGCGGCGGCCGCGGCGTGGCGGCGGGCGGGAGGGAGGGACGCCCTCTGTGTGCCAACATGGGGTCTGCAGAGGAGGGGTGCTCTTAGGCAGAGGGCCTCATATCGCAGCACGGCGGGAAAGACATTGGCTTCAGGTAAGAGTCTCATGTGCCTAAACATAGATGGGACAGCGCTCATTCAGGCCCTGCTCGGCCGCCTTCACCCGCCCGCCCTGCCCCTGCCTGGACCCCGCCAGGTCCGCCGCCGCCGCCTGGTGGTGGAGCAGCAGGCCGCCCGCGCCGCCGCGGAGGAGCGCGCCGAGGGCGACGCCCTGCTGGACCTGCTGGCGGCAAAGAGCGCCGAGGAGTCCGCGCTGGCGGCGCGCCTGTGGCAGCTGCGGCGCGAGGAGGAGGCGATGCGTGCGGGGCGGCTGCTGCGGGAGGCGGCGTACGCGGAGCGGCGGGAGGCCGACCTGCGGGAGGCGCTGGCGCGGGAGGCTGAGCTGGCGAGGTGGGGGCCCTGCCTAGTGGGGGTGGGGGTCTGAGGGGGTTGCGGCCAGGGCGCGCGCCGCGGGTGGGCAGGCGGCGTCAGGGATGGCGAACAGGTGCATGCTCAGGTGGAACAAGAGGGCGACGCACGCACGTGCTGATGGGATCCCGGATAGACGCCACGCCCCCTCCTGTGTGGTGGGCGCCGCTCGGGTCGCGAGGCCGGTTTCCCTGTGTTCTTGGGCCGCCCATGCCAACCGCACCAGCAAAGGATCCAGTGCAATCGCTGCGCGTCGCGCGCGCCGCGCCGCCCCGCAGCGCGCTGCGCGAGCGCCATGCCGAGGAGGTCAGCGCAGAGGTCTCCGCCCGCGCCGCCGCCCGCGCCGCCGACGCCGCCGCGGCGCGCGCCGAGGGCCGCGCCGAGTGTGCGGGCGCGGTGCGGGGGCTGGTGAGCTTGGCGGAGCGCGTGGTGGATTACAGGGCCGCGACGGGCGGCATGGCGGTGCCCCGCAAGGAGTGGCGCGAGTGGGTTGCGCTCTTCGTTGATTGCACCCCCGGCTGCGGCGAGGAGCTCGCGGCGCCGCTGGTGCCGCCCGTGGGCGGCGGGCTCGCCTGCGGGGAGTGCGTTGAGGCGGGGACCACAGCGGCGGCGGCGCAGGTGCTGAATCAGGCGGAGGTGGGGGAATACCTGGAGCAGAGCGGCGACTGGGCGCCGCCACAGGCGGCCGGCGAGAGCGGCTCAGGGGGTGCGTTGTCGCCGCCGCCGGACGCGCGCACCGCGGCTGCCGGCGCGGACGGCGACGGGCGGCATGCCACGGGCCCCCAGGCGGAGGCGGCCGAGCGGCTGGGCCGAGTGGTGTTCTCGCTGGCGGCGGCAGCGTCGGACGCGCGCGCGCGGGAGGCCGCCGCCGCTGCCGGCGGGCCGCGGCCGCTGCCGGTGCTGGACCACCCGCTGCGGCTGGCGGTTGTGGGGGGGCCGTACGCCGGGAAGACGACGGTGGCGCAGGCGCTGGCGCGGCAGTACGGGCTCAAGCTGCTCGCGCCGCAGGCGCTCGTCTCCGAGGCGGTCGCCGCAGCGGAGGCTTGGGACAGTGCACAGCGCCAGGCGCAGGCGCCACCCAGGCAACAGCAGAGCGGCGACTGCGGCGGCGCTGGCGATGGGCAGGACGGCAGCAGCGCCGCAGGTGCACACGCGGCGCAGCAGGGGGGCGTCGCTGCCACGAGCGACCCAGCACCCCCTGCAAAGGCCGCGCTGGGCCGCAGGCTGGCGGCGGTGCTACGGGCGGGCGGGGCCGTGCCTGACGACCTGTTGGTGGAGGCAGTGCTGATCGGGATCGAGGAGGCGCGGACATATGTGGTGCCGCCACCTGTAGACGCAGCCCCGCCCTCGTCCTCCGACGGCAGCGCCAGCATCAGCGGCGGCCGGAAGGGCGCCGGCGCCGCGAAGCCCCCCAAGACCGGTGCTGCCGGCGCGTCCGCCTCGGGCGCCGCGCCACAGCAGTCGCAGCCGGCGGCGCCGCACCCTGGCGGCCCGGGCCGCGGGTTTGTGCTCGACGGGTTCCCTTCGACGTCGGCGCAGGCGGCGGCGCTGGAGCGCGCGCTGACTGGGCTGGACCTGGCCTCAGAGGCCGCCCTGGCCGGCGCGGCGTCGCTCCTCGCGCCGCCGCCGCGCGACGCGCTGCCGCTGCTGGAGCGGCCGCTCGCGTCGGGGCTGGACGCGGCGGTGCTGCTGAGCTGCGGGGACGAGGCGGCGGCGGCGGGGCGGGCGCTGGGGCGGCGCATCGACCCCGTGACAGGTGCGACGGGTCGGTCAGTCGCAGCTGGGGCTGGGGCTGCCGCAGTTGAGCTGCTGGTAGACGCCAGGCGCGAAGTCGCGGTTGCGCTGGGGCTGCTGGGTCCGCAGGAGGTCGCCCACGCCTGCCTGTTTTGAGGCGGCGGGACGCCTTGCCATGCAGGCCCGGGGTAGCACTGGCGCGTTATGGAGTAGCCGCCGCCGTTCGGTGGTGTCGTGGACCCCAAAGCCCTGCAGGCATCCACCACAACACGTGTTGTGGTTCAAGGATCCTCACCTGGCAGAAATTCCAAGCTTTCAACCACTGACCACCACTGATTCCAGGGACGTTTCTTGTTCACCCCATGTGTGCAGGTGCTGTATACCACCTCGAGCATGCGCCGCCGCCCTCAAACGTGCCGGGCCTCACAGAGCGCCTGGTAGTGGCGTCTGCCGACGACAGCGGCAGCCCGGGATTCGCGTGCGGCGAAGCGCCGACAGCGGGGGCCGAGGCCGCGGGGGTGGTGGCGGCATCAGCAGTGACCGGCCCCGCAGCCCGCCCGTGCGTTGCGGCGCGCCTCGCCGCTCACACGTCCGAGGAGGCCGCGCTGTTGGCGTGGCTGGGGCGCTTTGGCACTCTGCTGCGTCAGATCGACGGCGCCGCGCCGGCCCACGACGTGGCCGCCGCCGCGTCGGACGCCGCGGCCGCGGTGCTGCGCGCCAAGGCGGCCGCGGCCGCCGCGGCCGCAGCGGCCGCCTACGCGCGCGGCGCGGAGGCCAGTGCCGATATGACGCGTGGGTTTGCGGCCACCGCTCAGGGGCACGCTGAGTCAGCGGCGCGGGAGCTCCTCGGCATCAAGCGTGCGGAGCTGCAGGCCGTGGCGCTGCTGGCGGGGCCCAAGAACGCCGACCCGGCGGCGGCAGAGGTGGTCAAGGCTCAGGCCGCCGCAAAGTGCGCGGAGCAGCTGAAGGTGCGGGGCTGCACGCGTGCGCTTGCTCCCGTGAGGGATCTGTTTTCAGGTGGCTGGTGAGCATTGGTGGGTGGTGCAAGGAGTGGAGAGCGCTGATTGTTGCCAAGAGGCTCTAGCGCGAGGCTCTGGGCCAGAACGTGGGCTCGCCATCCACCGCGCAGGCCTGCCGCGCGGCTGCCGCGGACGCCGCCGGCTTCGCGGAGCGCGCCGGCGTGTCGGCGGCGTCGGCGCGCGACGCGGCGCGGCGGTGCGGCGTCGCGGTTGGGGACGCGCGTGTGCTGGGGGAGGCTGAGGCGGCCGCAAAGCGCTCAGGTGCGTCTTGGGGTCAGTGCTGGGCGTGGGTGCGAGTTGTGATGTACGTGGAGGAAGGCCGACCGTAGCGGCAGTGGCGGCAGTGCTGCGGCACTTGCCGCACCCCCCGGGATCATCCCGGCATGATGCGCTTGCAATCACCTGCTCTTAGCAACTGCCTGCCGCAGCACAGGCACGAACGCAGACCCAGCTGCACCAAACGTGCAGCTGCCGCCGCTGCGCCCCCGTCCCCGCAGCTGACGAGGTCGAAGCCGCCAGCAAGGGCGCCGCCGACGCGGCCCGGCGCGCCGAGGCCGCGCAGGCGGCGGCGGAGGCGCTCGCGGCCGACGCGGAGAAATGGTTGGCGGGGGCAGAGCTGCCGCCCGCAGACGCCAGGGTCGGGGCGCCCGCGCCCCAGGCATCGGCAGCGCCGCCACCCGAAGCCTCGACAACACCCGCAGCGCCCGCGGCCGCGGCCGCCCTCCTGCCGCCGCTGCCCACGGACGTGCCGCCGGCGTTGGCGGTCGCGGCCGACGCGCTGTGGCGGCAGCTGGAGGGAAGCTACCTGGAAGGGCTGGCCCAGAGCTTTGGGCGCGCGCGCGAGGTGCGGGCGCTCGCGCTGGCGCACGTGGCGGCCGCGTGCCGCGGGTTCAGGGCGTTCCTGGCGCGGCCGGACGGGCGGCAGGCGCTGGTGGCGGCTTTTGTGGCGCGATTCAACGAGGTGGAGGCGGACATCAGGGCAACCAAGGAGGCGCAGGTGGGCTGTGATGACAGGGGGCATAGGCCGCGCGGCAGCGTGGCCTGCTGCCTCCAAGCAAACCGGCATGCTCCTCTTGGCTGGGGGCTGTTTGTGCCTGACCTGGCCACCTGCGTTCTTCACGTGCATTTGTTTGGGGTGCAAGTGTGTTATGACGCCGCGGTGGCCTGGGCTGAGAGGCTGACGCCATGCGTGTTGTGTGCCGCAGGGGGAGCTGCTGCTGCGCTGCGAGGAGCTGCGGGATGCGCTGTGGGCCGTGTGTGACGCGCGCGCCGAGGCGGCCGAGGCGGAGCGGCTGCGGCTGTCATCAGACGGCGCTGTGGTCGATCAGGTGCGCGTGACACGTGGGCCTACTCAAATCAGCGGCCGCTGATTGGCCTGCCGAGTTCCATGAGGTGCTTTGCAGTTGCGCGCTGCGCAGCTGACCCCTGAGCTGCCGGGTAGTCAATGCAACATGTTAACAGAGACTTGTGTGCCTCACACATCCTTGACAAATCGCCACTTGTCCGTCTCACAATTAGCCCCCTGGTTTCGCTTCCACTGCAAAGGTCAACGCGCTGGCGGAGGAATATGGGCGGCTGGCGCAGGTGGAGGTGGACCGCTTCCTGGGCACTGCACAGTTCCTGCAGGTGTGGGGCGCGCTGGGGCTGGGCAGGGCCACGGCCTGTTGGGCTTGTTAGCGGATAAGGCCACGCCTGCCTGCTGCGTGGCTGGTGGTGACACCCCGGCGAAGGTTGAGATATGTGAGCAAAGGCTCAACACACAGAAACGGACGTACTTCCTGTGTGGGGGCGGTGGTCGACAGGTGGTTCATGGTCCTGTTCAAGGTTGATCACGCACCCGGCTCACACCCGCACGCCGCCGCTTCCTTGCAGCTCTACGTGGGAGGGGTGGCGCGCGCCAGCGGTCCCGACGCAGCCGGCGCTGGTGACCTCCAGAAGCCGCTCTGCCCGCTGCCCGCCACCGTCGTGGGCGGCCCAGGGGGTGGGCCGGCCGCGGAGCTCAGGGAGCGGCTGGAGGCCAAAGGGGTCCACGTGCCACCCTGGGCGGCCGCGCTGCAGGGCCGCGCGCCCCAGCTGGCCTTGGCGCTGCGGGCCGCGCTTCTGGTGGGGGAGGCGACAGTGGCGGCGGGGG